GTCCTTTTTCAATTTTTTTTTTTTTGGAGAGATTTTCACTGTAGGGCGCGTGCGCTCACCAGACAGACAGAGAGAGACATAGAGACAGAAAGCGAGAAATCACCCCCCAGGGGGGATGGTCACGCCGCAATCCCTTCTCCTCCATTCTCCTCTCGGGATCTTGGGCACGCATGCACACGCGCCTGGCGTGAGTTTTTTAAGCCACCGGATCCGGGACACGAGGCGTGAGTTTTTTAAGCCACCGGATCCGGGACACGAACCGCGGTCGACTACGTGGGAGTCCAGCGACATAGCCATTACGCTAACTGCTGGTTCCCCTGTCCTTTTTCAATTTTGAGGAAGACTCGGTACTCTAGGGAGAAGGGCGTGGCGCGCTCCTCGCAGCTGTAGCCGCTCATGGTGCCGAAGACTAGCCGTTGAGCTGCCACCCAGACACCGCATGCTGCACCAACTGACAAGCTTCATTTCTTCCTTCATTTCGGACTTTGGATGCATACACACCCATGCTTGGCATGTTTCTCAGGCCTGTGGGTCCGAGACTTGAACAACAGGCTTGGTCATGGGGGACCCAAATGTCACTGTGCCACTATGCCATTAACCACTATGCCACAGGCTGACCCAAGAAATAATTTTTTAGACTAATAAATTATAGAATAGTTATTTCATTTTATTCTATTTATTTATTTATTATTAAAATTTTACTAAGTGTGCGTGCACTCATTGGTGAGAGACAGCCGAGAGAGAAAGGGAGAAAGCACTCTCCAAAGAGATGGTCACATCACAGTCTTTTCTCCTCAGTTCATTTGTCTGGTCTTGGGTATGCATGCACATACCTCTGCTGTATTTTTCAAGCTATAGTGTCTGGCACTCGAACTGTCAACGGAATTAGCCAACAATGTAGAAATAATAATTAATACAGTTTATTTCTAGGCACAAATATGAGTAACCAACTCAGAGAAAAGTGTGTATCTTGGGCGTTGTGATATAGTGGTTCATTTTACATAGTTTTGAGGACAGGAGAGTTGTCAATCAGCATAAGAAGTCTTTTACATTAGTCCAGCGCCAGTAGGTGGGACATCTGGAAGCTGAGGTTTGTAGGTTATAGGTGAGTTTACAATTCTTAGATTAGTAATTGGTTAAAGAAAATCACAAGTATTTGTTTCTGAAACAAATCAGCACAAAAATGCCTGTGCTTTACTCTAAGAAATAAGGAGACTGGCTATGTATCACAAAATCACTATGCCTGGGACAAGATGTAGCATCCCACGACCACTGGTCTGTTAATGTTTGTAGACTCTGTTAGTTTGTAGACCTGACTCTCCCAGGCCCCCTGGGAACAAGTTTGGAAAAAGAAAAAGTAGTCAGAATTCTGTTTTCAGAATCATGCAGTTGGCAAATGTGGTACGACCTTAACCACCACTCCGCTGACTGGTCCAGGAGTGGTTATTTCTTTTTCTTTTTTCTTTTTTTTTTTTGGAGAGGTTTTCTCTATAGGGCACGTGCGCTCGCCAGACAGACAGAGACATAGAGACAGAAAGTGAGAAATCACCCCCAAGGGGGATGGTCACACCGCAATCCCTTTTCCTCCATTCTCCTCTCGGGATCTTGGGCAGGCACGCACACACACGCGCCCAGGAGTGGTTATTTCTGATCAGACACCATTTCCCATTAAATCAGGGGTGCTCCACTTCCAGCTGATGCCAATCATACTTAAGTGTCTCAGCTAAATTCAACCCATGCCTCCATTGAGCCTGATCTTTCTCTTGTTCATTCATTGAAATACTTCTATTGATTAGTCAGGCAGGATATTTCTGGCCATGTGTTGGTTCCAGGAGGGAGGACACGATTCCTGTCCTTAAGGAAAGTATAGCTTTCTGACAGTCTTTTCTGAAATGAAGGAGCAATGCAGTATTTTCTCTTTTGGCTTAGTTGCCCCTCCTAATTGTCAGGAAAGGATGACAGAGGGTAATGAGAAGATTCCTCTGAGGGAAAAGGCAAAATAAAAGGTATTTAGAAGAAATAACAAAAATTATTCAAGTAAGCAGATTTACGGATGGCTTACTCTGCCTCTCGTGAATTAACAAGTGGCGTAACTTTGATCAAAGGTCCAGGAGGGACAGTGTCCTTATTTTTTTCTCTTAAAAATTTTTTTTCAAGAATTATTTTATTTAACTTTATTTATTTATTTATTTATTTATTTATTTATTTATTTATTTATTTATTTATTTTAATTTGACCAGAGAGGGATGGAACAAGAGAGGGAAAGTGAGAAAGCAAGCCTCCAGGTCTGGGAATCAAACCACAGTTGGCTGTGTGGGAGTCTAGCACCCTTAACCACCACACCATCTGCTTGTCTTGGTCCTTGTTTCTATGTAAGATAAATCCTGGTCAGGTACTAAGATAAATTCTGGTCAGGTAATAACAGGTGCAGTGCTTGCTACCTGAGTTCAGAGAAAAGGGAAATTAGTATGAACCTCTGTGCAAGTTCCTGGGTGAAGTTGAGGCTTGAAGGGCCAGGTTAAGACCAGGCACAAGGGAAGTTCTTCTAGAGTGGGCCCGTGGCTTTAGCAAAACACAGGATTACATATTACACATATACACATATGTGGGATGATCCAATGACCTTTGGGGTTAGAGAAGTATCAAACTTAAACTTCTTCAGGGATCAGGCAAGTTGCATAACTGATTAAAGAGTAGAGGTTGAGGACTAAAGGCTGACTGAGTCTTACCTGAATTTGGTCCCAGCATGAAGGGAGTATTACGCTCAACAAGTAAGTTATAAATTTACCTTTGTTGTGTACTTTCCCACATTTCCCCCCTTTTTTACCAGCGTGAACGTGCGCTTGCTTGAGAGAGAGATGATAGAGAGAGAGTAGAGAGAGAAAAAAAAAGAAAAAAAGAGAGGAAGATAGAAAGAAAGAATAAAGAGAAAGAAAAAGAGTAAATAAATCATCCCCCATGGAGGATGGTCACACCACAGTCTCATCTACATTTCTCTCTCTTGTCTGGATTTTGGGGGCATGCATGCGCATGCACACACACACACACACACACACACACACACACAGCATGTGTCTCAAGCCACAGGATCTAAGACTCAAACTGTGTAGTTGGCCATGTGGGATACAACTGCCTTAACCCCTCCCCTTCTTAAAATATTCCAGAGGGTAGCCAGCAGCTGGCATAATGCTTACAGCACTGGACTTCCACATGCCTGATCACAGCTTAAGTCCTGTACCCAGTGGCTTTAAACTCACACTGGGGCATGTGTATGTGTGTTATCAAATACAATGGAGTGAATATAGTTTATAACAATTTACTGTATATACAAAAGTAACAAGAAAAGAGGATTTTAGATATTCCCAACATGAGTAATGACAATTAGCTGAGAGGATGGATATTCTAATAATCTTGAATCGATCAATACATGTTGCATTCTTGTACTGAAAAATCACACTGTTCTCCACGGACATACACAATTATTATAAGTTAATGAAAAATAAAGTAGAAATGAAGCCTAAAAAAATATTAGATTGTTAGATTTTTGTGTCAGTCTTCTGAAGAGGTCTTTCGAGACTATAGGATAATATTGTGTTTATAGTAAATAATGTACTGTACACTTAAAAAATGTAAGAGGCCGGGACAATCAGATGGCATAATGATTACATTGCTAGAATCCCATCTAGTTGACCAGGGTTCGAATTCTCCCCCCGGGGGGTGATTTCTCACTTTCTGTTTCTCTGTCTCTCCTTGTCTCTCAGGCAAATGCATGCACCCTATAGCAAAAATCTCTTGAATGAAACAAACAAACAACAACAACAACAACAAAATCATGCCAAGCACGTGTGTGTGAGTGCCGAAAATCCTGAGAGGAGAATTGAGGAGATGAGATTGTGGCACGGCCATGCCACCTGGGCAGGTGATTTCTTGCTCTCTATCTCTTTATCTCTCTGTTTCTCCATTGAGCGCATGTGCTTTTATAGCAAAAATCTCTCTTTAAAAAAATAAAAATGTGGGGCATTAGTTGGCCTAATGATTATGTCGCTGAACTCCTATGTAGTCGACAGCGGTTTGAGTCCCAGATGTGGTGGCTTAAACTTATGCCAGGTGTGTGTGTGTGCATGCCCAAGATCCCAAGAAAACAGAGGAGAAGGCATTGCAGTGTGGTCATGCACCCCTGGTGGGTGATTTCTCACTTTCTGTCGCTCTGTCTCTCTGTTTTTCTGGTGAGCGCACGGTGCCCTACAGCAAAAAACTCTCAAAATAAATGTAAGGGGTTAAATCTCGCATAACTTGTGCTTATCACACTTTTTAAAAAAATGACTATGGCGGGAACCAGCAGTTAGCGTAATGGCTATGTCGCTGGACTCCCACGTAGTCGACTGCGGTTCGCGTCCTGGATCCAGTGGCTTAAAACTTACACCGGGCGCGTGTGCGTGCATGTCCAAGATCCCGAGAGGAGAATGGAGGAGAAGGGATTGCGGCGTGACCATCCCCTCTGGGGGGTGATTTCTTGCTTTCTGTCTCTATGTCTCTCTCTGTCTGTCTGGCGAGCGCACGTGCCCTATTGTGAAAATCTCTCCAAAATTGCTAAAAAATTACTATGGGCGGTGTTGATGAACAGGGGAAGAGATTCCAATTAGAATGATGCTACTGAAATCTATCTATACAATGACAAAACACAAAAGTGAAAGGAAAGACCCTGAGGGGGAAAAAAGGGTTTTACTGAAGATATAGCTTACATATATTGTGTATTATTTCCACAATTCACAGTGATTAGTTAGGGGATGGAAAACAGAGAAATAAGAAGACCATTTGGGTATGTGAAAGGGCTTTTTCTTCCTTTACTTCTCTAAAAAGTATCAAGTAATTTTATTGTATCAATAACTCTTGTTCATGCATTTCTGAATAGTGACCTCTTGGGAATGATAACATTTATTTGGGTGAAGTTGTAAAATGCACAATTTGTATCTGAAAACCAAAACTTGACAGCAAGTTGTTTGTATCTTTTTTTATTTTAATCAAACATTTCTGTAGGAAAAAAAAAATCAACCATTTCTCATTTTTATAGTTAGAAACAGGGTATTGCATAACTAGGACAGAGCTTTTCAATTGTGAAAAATGATGCTAAGAATGACTGGGAAAAATAAATTCTGCACACACCCTCACAAAATGTTACAACATTCATGCCATGTATATCTGTGCTTCTAAGATGGCCTTAGGCTACAAGAAAATATATGTTTTCCCACAGAGGATAGGGACCAGACTGCTAGAGTTAAATATCAGGTTTTGCTTTTCACAAGGTCTCATAGTTATGAGTATTCACCATAATACCGTTAAATCACATCGTAAATCTATGTAACTGCTTCCTTTTACATTCGTTATTTGGTAGCAGAAG